ACATTATGAATTGCAGCTAATCCATGTTTTCTGAGTATTAACGAAACGTCAAGCATACTAAGCGTTTGTCTTTAAGCGAAATAATATCAACTCAAAGTTTTTAGAAATGCATGAAACCAATGTACAAATATACTAACAATGCAGCTGTCACAGAAAGGCGTGAAAGTGCATCGATACAGAAACGTTGCTTGTTTTCTGTTCACAAACATTTCGTAATTTTTGCATATTTTGATGCGAAATAATTTACGTTACATTGCTCAGTAGCAGCAAAATGACAACTACAAAACAAATCCAAGCAGCGAACTCGACATTCCTCAATGATTCTGGGAATGCAGTTGAATAAAATTCATGTACTTGCAAAATAAGATCCTCAAAACCTATGTCGAGAAGCGATCATCTTCTCGTATTTGCCAACGAATCCCCATTCCGGATAGATGAGACCAAGGACAAAACGAGTGGTCACTGAGGTGATATATGGTTGCATCCAGTGCAGCAGTGTGCGATAAATGAACAAATAATGTAACGGTGATGAGATTGCGTGACGACGCTGTAACCGGACGAACACTGATGTCGTTAGCACTAACTTATCGTATCGTGCCGAACCTAAAAATGCCAGCCTTAAGCTTAGAAAGATTGAAAATTGTACATGTCAGAGACGAGACTGTCACTGTTTACTACTTCTAGAACTTAGTTCGAAAGGCCTGACACAGCTGCGCTCGGTGTGCGAGAACACCTCAACGACATCACTAATATGAGATACTTAGATCGGTTGTCTGGGTGGTCTTGATACTCTTGGTATTACGTTGCTCACAGCACTGTCAAACACATGGTATTGCACTTCTGACGTCGAAAATCCACATTTTTACAAATCCACAGAAATTTATTGGAAAAAAAAAAGAAATCAAATTCTCGGTACCTCGAAGCAAATGCATTAGAAGCGCTTCGATTGTCACCAAAGTGCCGGAACGTCCGCAGCCATCCAGACACTGGACTATTGTTGCTGTTGGAGACATGCGTGCCCTAAAATCCACAACACATTAAAAATCCTGGTTTCATATACTTTAATTTTTAAGGCA